CGATGCGGGAACTATTAGTTCCGTAAGCAACAACTGAATGTCAGCCATGTGGATTTTATGGAATAAACTACAGGGATGTAGAAAGGCTTCGACAGAAGTTAGCTCTCAGAGAAGTACGATCCACGGTGCATGAGAACCCACAAGAATCCTCAGGAGATAAATGTGCAGAAGAAGGCAGCGATTGAAATTCGGTCTTCTGGTCCGCAGCGAGGTGCAGTAGACTCAAGGCTAACTCAAAAGTTTCGCATTTCCAAACAGTGACGCATGTGCGGGTATAACTACTTCGCTGGAATCTGCGCTTCGTTCCGAGAGAGGACCAAGTTATAAATACCGAATTTTGGTTCTGCATTCAACGACTGAAAGCTGGTCATCTGACTCGAATGCGCTATAGTGCACACAAAGCTTACACAAAAAAGTTCCATCATTCGAAAAGTCTCATGAGCCGAGCCGAGCCGAGCCGGGCAGCAAGATACGAGGTGGCCTTCAAGGATTGGCCTCACTCCGAGCGCTTCTTGCGCACGTAATGCTTCCTTGGAGTCGAGGTGGAAAGTGACACGGATGAAGTGGAATCAGAACTGAGTCCCCAGGTCTGGGTGTGGGCAAAAGGCCCTGAGTTCGAGTTCGAGAACTGGAGGCTTTTAAAAACCTCTCCGCCGTGTCAAGCGAGGAAGTGATCGTACCCCAAGCAACGGAGGGTCGATCATGGGGTAGGTAGGATTGAGCTGCACTGTTTATAAAGCTCCACAAAAGTCACCTAATCCTTTTACAAATGATGGACTGCGCTCGTAGCTTCCCTGATGTTGCGCCAGCATTCATGGATTCTTTTTCCAGCTTTGCTGGACCTCGAAGCATTGGTGTCATCGGTCGAGGTGGAAACCCCATGCTCGCGCGGGCCATGTACAATCCGAGAGCCCATCCTTCGCCAAGCCTACACGATCAGCAACAGAGGTCTCGTCCATCCGACACTGAGTCCTGTTCCAGCTCTAGATCTGGGTGCACTTGTTCCAGACCATGTTTGATGCAGGGACCACTTACCCAACACTGACCGGAGATCTGGGGCAATGTTGGAAAGTGGAGTGCACTTATTCCAGATATTTCATACAGCTTTTGTGCGGTTTAGTATTGATTGGCATTTCTCCCACAAAAATAACTGGCAGAGTGCCAGCGAGCCAATGTCTGCTCGGCACAGGGTTCCAAGTCCACTCACACCAGATATTGCTGGACGCAGCGGCTTGTGCTCTAGGTTCAACATTTAGCTACACACAATCTCGAAATGTGGATCGAGTGCGTTCCGCAATAACTCAAGATTTTTGGCCGCAGCACATTCCTTGCGGCTGCTGGAGAATCAAATTCGTCCACTTGCATCTGGACACTTGGAATCGAAGCGAATACTCGAACCGAGCATCAGGTTTCGAAGCGGGTTCGCCTTCAATCAACTGGCTGAAAAACAGGTGCCTTTGCTCCTGCACTAATCGAAATCACAGCCGTGGCACAAGTGTCGGATGCAGAACTCGAGGTCCACTTAGTCGTACGAGACCTCGCATTATTGCCGTCAAACTCGATGCATCTCTAAACACTATCTGACTCAAGCCTATAGCATCATACTCCCTGCGATTTCACTCCCCATCTCCCCCCCTGGTATGGGCGCTATCCCTTGACTAGATTTGAACACTCTGGCCATGGCAGGTCCTACTTCACACACAGTGTCTGCCCCTAGCGCTCTGTCGGGTAGACTGTGATCCCGGCCTTCGTTTCAACTTGCCACGGTGAGTGAGAATGATGATTAGTAGTCCAGATGTGATCTCGAGCGAAGACCAGGTCTGCTAATGAAGCTCACAGCGACTGGCTGTGATAGGGCGAATAATTGCAATGACCTACATGAAGACTGATGGCAGTGCTACTTTAGATGGTTAGCTCGAAGACCAGGTTGACACTCTTAGGCAGAATTCACACAAAGCTGGAGTCGTACGACGATCGTACGAGAAGGTCTACCTACAAGGAACCGTTACGAGGAGTCAGTGTTTAATGATTCGTGCGCAGAAATTGCTGGGAGCTGCTCTGGGTTCACAAAAAAACGAAAAGTAAAGAGGAAAAATTCTTGTCTATGGAAGGCGCCTGATTCTGGTCTACAACTTGGGAGCCATTCGACTAGATGGGACTCATGGGAGCTGACGGAGGTCAACTTTACAGCATCGTAAGGACCAGCTCGCGTTGTAGTAGTAGACTCTCTCTCTCTCTCTCTCTCTCTCTCTCTCTCTGAACCTGCAGCTCTCACTCCCATGTCTAAGAAGCTTCTCAGCTTATCATCTCCACCACATGGCCCATCTAGCTCTGGGCTTGTGATAAAAGCTGTACTGTCACCACTCGAAAGCACAACAGTCATCGCTCACCAAGACTCAGAAGAGTATTTCCTGTCGGAATCGGCTCCCGACTTTTAAACCAGGTGTTGAGATCAGCAGAAACTGTTAATTTTCTAGTTATCTTGTGCCTCGATGATGTCTTTCGCTAGGCCATTTCCAGTCATAGCCCTCGTCAAACTCTGATTAGCCTACAGGGAAAACAGTGAACTTCAGGGTACTCGAGGGCGGGCATGTCCGTTTGGACCACCCTCAGTTACCTTTGGAATATCAGTCGTGCCTCCTGACACCAGAGCTTTCTTTCGAGCCAATTACATGTGTTCATGAGTGCATGCGGTTTTCATAAGTTTTTATAAGTGATGGGTCCACTGTTGCCTAAGCGCGTGATAAGATATTAGATATAAGATATAAGATATTAAGGTGGTAGCCTTTCTAGTCGACATCAATGTTCGATTCTTCTGCAATAGACTAGACTCGGCAGCAGACCCATGCTCGACCACGCTTCTCCGACCACGTACAGTCGGTTAGTTCGGTGCAGTCGTGTCTTCTGTTACGCAGTAACGAGACGTGCCCCGTTGACGGAGGGGAGGGAGGGAGGGAGGGAGGGAGGGATCGACCGTCGGGGCCTATGACAAAGCCTCTGCAGCCCAAATGAGCTCCGGAGATCGACCAGGTTGACTTTCATGGCGAGGTAGATGCTGTCCTGAAGAGTCGCAGAGGTTGCATCGTCTCAAATCCTCGGCTCCAGTGAGGACAGGACATCGTATACACAGCCGGGGATGGTTGAACAGAACGAGCGAGATCCGACGATGTCTGAGTCTGAATCTGAGTCTGAGTCTGTGCGGTGGCTGGCTGCGTCGCTCGAGCTCGTATGTCCAAATTCCCTGAGAGAGAGAGAGAGAGAGAGAGAGAGAGAGAGAGAGAGAGAGAGAGAGAGAGAAAGAGAGAGAGACTGACTACGGATCCGTGAGCTCGGACGGCAGGAGATTCGTCCTGGTGTGATCGCCGATCGGGGTTCTGGTACGTCCACGACCGATCTATTAAACCTCGGACGACGACCCGTACTCGACGATGAGAGGTGTTGGAATCTCTCCACGACAGAAACTCGGCACTCACTCGTCAACTTTCGCAACAGTGGGTCGGTGGTCGTCCGGCCATTGTTGCCACATGGGCCCAAATTATGACCAACCTCTTCGCCTTCGGCCTTCGGCCATGTTAATATTCTATCATTTATAATCCCCTGGTTTGCAGTTGGTTGCGCCTCCCAGACGATCGACGTCTGGACAGGACAATAATTGACGTCCACACCCGTCGCCCTCGACTCCATCCGTCACATTCGCTCCAGCTCCGGTCCCCAGCAAATGAAATGCAATCCGGGTACGAATGTGTGCGAGCGAGCGAGCAAAACCTGTACCCACGGGCCAGGAGTCTGGGCCCGGGGGTGGGTCGGGGGTCATTCGTTGCTGCTATCTATGCGTAACATCAACGACTTTCGGAGCCAATGAGCGCAGGGCAGTGGAGACGAGGGTGGTGGCGATCGCGATCGCGAGATTTAGGTGCGAGGAGGATCGGCTGCCCGACTGGCCGGCTGCTGCTGCTGCTGCTGCTTCGTCCTGGTGCTGTACGAAGGATGCTTTAGAACCTTCCAAAAGGTCAGCATCCCTCAGGAGGAGTAGGAGCAGGAGCTCCTATGGCCGAGCGTCGAGTTCAGAGGAGGTAGAGAGCAGGTGAAACGAATAGGCCGCAGTAATTGCCCCCTCCCCTCCCCTCCCCCCTCGGGTGGTGCTGGTGATGGTGGTGGTGATTCTTCTCCTGCGTTCGGCAAATTTGGTGCTGCTCCTGGTGGCGCAGACCTTTCGCATCGGATCACTCGCACACTCCCCTGCTGCCTGTCACAAGGGGCTGCAGCAGCAGATTGTCATCAGGTGCTTCATTTTGCTCGCACGGCGCTGGATTGTTGTCAGATGGTGCAACAGCGGCACTTTCTCGCCTTGGCATATTCTAGGCCGGGCTTGTCTACCACTTTTCATCGTCGTTATGCTCCCGAATGGGCCTGACAATTTTCATAAATATGGTTTTTCAAATATGCCATACATCTCACGGCCTTCATTACCCACACGGTACTGTCAGTGAAGTCTGCGTGAATTCAACAGCAGGTGAATAGGAATTCGTAATCGATTGTTGCTTTGTTTCTCTTTTGCAAGACGACATTCTTGCAGTATCCTCAAAAGCTGTGATGAGCGAGCGAAATCTCGTAAGCGATGCGTACTCCCTCCCGAACTGCTCAACTACATTTCTACTCCGACTGCAATGAAGAAGATCCGGCTGACAGAGCTAGTTTCCTCCGCTTTTCTATTTGTAATCGAGCAGCTATCAACTTTCCAGCCGCTGACATGAATAGGCATCATCACAATCGGGAGTAATCACTTCGGTGGACCACGAAGGACCGTGCGACTCAAGGAACGGACCTTCGGAGAGGACCAACGCATCAACGACCGAAGTAAACAATGAACTCTCAGTGTCCATCAACGGTGTCCGAAACATAGAGTCGGACTGGATTCAAGCGGCGCGTTGTTGAGAGAAAGAAGGGCCTTTGACAACACATTCATAATCAACGCATAGAAATGACATGAGAGCATTGGACAATGTGTTATGAAAAAGCAATTATGCAATTTTACAGCGCCACACTTTTACTGAATCAAAGCCGACAGCTGATAGTGTCGGGTCGATGACATAGACCTCTATGTGACAAAGAATACTATGCAGCCAAAAGGACGGCCCGTGCTTCTAAGGATCGGATGAGTCGCATCCGAGGGCACAATGAGGGGCTACTGCACACACCAACTAAACAGGAACCCTGAATTCTCCATGAAAACGATGCAGTGTCGTCGCTTGCTCGCTCGGAGGCACGAGAACTCTACATCCTGCAAGCAGAGCCCTCAAGAGCAGCGGGGAACTCCGTCGATCTTCCCAGAACCCCAGCCCCCATTAAAATTACGGCCCTGGCCCTCTCTCCATCCCTCCCACCCTCCTTCCTCTGCATAAAGTCCAATAATATTTACACAGATTCAAACGCTTTAGGTAGATGACTTTGTGGTGCTACCATCATTCGTCGCTCGTCGCTCCTCCTCCTCCTCCTTCTCCAGTCCCCGTGGGATCGACTCGATTCCTCTGCACTCCACGTCCAGGCAGCTCCGAGCGGGACAACATCCAGCCAATATATAACAAACGCATCATCAGGAGGGGGGCATTGCATGCTCGATGGGGGAGGGAGGTAAGCTATGCGACGTGCTCAGTCGCGGGATATATACGCGCTGGCGGAGAGGAATTCACAGCTTGATGGCCTGCTCGAAGCGCTCCATGACGGGGGCAGGGAGGCCGAGCAGGACGTTGATGCTCTTGCGCTGCGAGCCGTGCGAGAGGAAGAGTATAACCTCCTTGTCGGGCAGGGTGACGGGGCCGGTCTGCACGGGCTCGCCCCAGCCGAAGTCCGTGACGTGGAAGGGCAGCCGGGACCAGGTGGTGATGCACACGCTGGCGGTGAGCGCGGGGCGCGCACGCGTCATCTCGAAGAAGTCGATGGCCGATCGCATGTAGCCGTCGTCGATGAGCCGGATGGCGTCCTGCACGAGCCGGACGGAATGTGCGAGCGGCCGGTCGACGAGGTCCGCCGCCTCCGTCATGCAGAAGGTGAGCACGATGGCGTTGCCGACGTAACCCGCCGGAATCGGAGGCACGAATTTCTCGCGCCCGTTCACGGCGAAGTAGAGCCGCGTCTTCTGGCGCGGCTCCATCTGCAGCGCGCGCGTCCGCGCCCGCCAGACCAGCCCCGACAGCGCCTCGAAGGTGGTGCACTTCCGCCCCTCGACCCCCTCCTCGGCCTCGGCCGCCACCCTGCGCTTCAGCTCGTCCACGGCCTCGGGGCTGAAGGTGAACGACTTGTGCACAATGTTCTCGCTCGTGTCGAGGCGATTGTCGGGCGAGAGGTCCTCAATTTCCGCGAACTCGTGGTGCGGGAACTCGATTTTCGCCGGCGTCCTCGCCTGCAGCAGAGTGCGGTCGAACACCGGGCTGATCGTCATGCTCTTCCCCTGCGCCACCTCGCCCCACGCCTTGATGAACTCGTTCGCCGCAATTCCATCGAACATCGAGTGCTGCATGCTCAGCCCCAGCGACCATCCTCCGCATTTGAACTTTGTCACCTGCTCCGCGACACAGAGCGCACCACAGAGAAAACAATAAGTTCATGGTGATTTTTTCTCACGTTGCATGCCCGCAGCGATGGCCACCCCATCCCCACCATTCCATGGGCCCCACTGCAGAATTTCCGCCCTCAGTGCGACTCGGCAGGTCAAAGAGCCCGAGACGACAGCCGGGCGGACAATTCGATCGTCTCCTGCTCCGAAGAATCGGTCAATTTGGTCCGGATGAGGACTGGAGTCAACGTCGGGCTCCGGCGGATAGAGTGTGACGACTCAGGAGGTGAGCAACAAACGTGCAATCTCGCATGGGCATGGAGGAATCTAATACTGCTGCCGACCACGAGTGGTTTCGCATGGAGAGAATCAGGGCACATCGAGCACCGAGAGGCGACTCGGAGTGCATGCTCGGCTGCAGAGTCTCTCGCCCAGAGGGCCACGAGCGGGCCCGCAGATTGGGTTTGCGGCTCAATTGAGAAGACGGCGGGCGCATTCGAGGAATCTAGAGTGCAGCCTACGGATCGGAGAGACTAGGTTTCGTGAATCGTCAGAGGAATTTCGCAAGATTCTATTCTAAACAGAGTCGAGCCTAGAGAAATTGAGGCCAGCAGAGGCAACGCACCTGAACGACCACGAGTGGGGTGTCCAAGATGTTGGTGGCGCCGGGAACTTCGTACAGCAGCTGCGCGAGGCGGTCGTCGGGCTTGCCGATGTCGCCCAAGTCCGCCAAGTCGGCGTTGGCGATGGCCTCCACGAAGCAGACGCCGTCGTTGTTGTAATTCACGATCAGCTTCATCTCGGGGCTGAGCGCCAGGCGACCGGCCAGAGGCCAGTAGGTGTCGAGCACCTGGGCCAGAGACGTCTTGAGCACCTCGCTCACATCCTCCTTCTTCTCAGGCTTCGCCTCGAACAGGTACACGGTCTTCACGAGCATGGCCACATTTTGATCGAGGTTGCTGAGATAGTAAGTCTGTGGCTCTATCTGTTCCCGAGGCAGAATGTACTCCGCCTTCCCTGTGGTAATGTCGAACCTGTCGCTCGACGCATCCGCCACCTTCGCAGCTGCAGCTTGCGATGGTGCTGGAGCTGGAGCTGGAGCTGGAGCAGTGGCAGTGGCAGGGGCCTTCACTGGAGCAGAGGGCTCGAGAGAAAGGGCCTTCAAGGGAGCAGCTGCGACATCGACTGAAGCTGGGGCCGCAGCTACTGCAACCTCCTCGGCGCCCATTCTGAAGATCCGAAGCCTTACGTGAGAAGGAGCACAATGCCGAAGAGAGTGTTGGGCTGGCTGCCTCTTTTGTCTGTCTGTCCACCAGGTGAGTCGTCCTCTCACCTGACTGGCGCTGGAGGTCGTGCTTCTAGCTCGAAGATGTGGAGGAGGGGAGGGAGGGAAGTAGGGAGGGAGAGAGAGAGAGGTGGAGAGGTGGAAGAGTGAGAGTGTGCGACTGCCTGACTTCTCCTGAATTAACACGAGCCAAGTCGTGAGACGGGGAGTGCAGCAGTTGTATCGGGAATGTGGGAAGGGAGTTCCGCTCGAGCTGAGGGGAGCTGAGGGGAGCTGAGGGCAGTGCAGGGCAGGGCAGGAGTCAGAGGAGAGGAGGAGAGATTGAGGAGTACTGCTGCTCAGCAGCTGCTGCAGGAGTCAGGAGTGCTCGAGTGGATGGTAAGTTGGCGGATGACGGCATTTGAAGAACGAAGCAAGGGGAGCTGAAATACAATTCGGGGAGCGGTGGAAATGCGCGACCAGCGCGGGCGGGGGGCGTCGGGTCTCCGGGACTGACTCACTGACTCACTGAGATTCTGACACACTGACTGGCTCACTGGTTGGATAGATGGGCTGGAACGGACAAGACTAAGACATACGGGGGCAGCTGCGATCCCGGGAAGCAAAATGAGTTGACCGATTATCAAGGGACGCTGGCCATGGATGGTAGGCGGGTGGAGCTGGCATGGATGGCACTCTTGTCCGCTCCCTGGGGGTCTCCACCCGAACCCTCCTTTTCCCAAAGATGTAAAGTGCAGGAAAAGAAGCTCCACAATTTGCTCAAGCCTCGCAGCCGCATTCAATGTTGTACCCGGAAAAATATCGCTTCACGATGATGTATGTGACTTCCTTGGCATGCAGGCCAGGGCGACAAGCGCAAGTATGCACATTTTGGCCTCTGCTCGCTCGCAGATGTACCATCCCGTGCCCAACCTCCGGCACGGCCGGTGCAGGCCAGGCCAGGCTCGATCAGGCAGGCAGGCAGTCAGGCAGGCAATTGTAACTTTGCCATTGGCACTCTCCCTGCGCAGCCAGGCTCTGAGCGATGTACTCTCGAAGCTGACCGTCCCTAGCCGAGCCCCCAGCCAAGACAGCGACATCGGCCCCAATTCTTCTTCTACTGCTACTACTACTACTCTTCACAAGGCAGTAGTAGCATGTAGGACTCTATAGCCATTGACTACAAGCATGCCTGAAATCTTCCGAATCCCGACAGCAGAGTAGGGGATGGGATGGGGAGGCGGGCAGGCAGAAGGCAGGCAGGCAGGCATGCATGCAGCATTTGAGCATTGCAGCCATAGCCATCTATTGAAACTATCAATCTATTAATCTACAGATCGACTACAGATCTGTATCTAGATCCATTTAGGCCGAAACAAGGAGACGGGAGAAAGTGGGTACAGGTTCTTCATGACAGGCCATCTCAGCCAGCCCCTCCATGCATCAACTACTACCATCAAGACATCATTCTCATGATATGCTGCTTCTCGGGCGATCTACTCATTGCAAGACGGCCGCTCTAGTGGATGCTGCGAGTGCCGGGGTAAAATCTAGTATACGGTCTGGATGCTTAGGGGGGACGACGGGGGTAGCTCTAGGACCTTCTTCCTTCATCTACGTGCCTGACACTCTTTCATCAATGCGCCCAACGGCCTCTCATTAACTCCACCACTGCTCCTCGTGAGTCACCGGAAGAAAAAGGACGAGCTCGTGGTCCTCTACCCCACAAACCCCCGCCTCCCTCGTCGCAGTCGCCCGGTCCCGCTTATATATAGGCCCCTGCCTGTCGCTACTCCTGAGCTCTTCCTGCCCAACAATAGCAGGTGCTGCTAAATTCATGTTCTCCGAGCGCTTCGCAACATCCTTCAGGTGGGCCGTCTCCAGTCGTCTCCAGTCGGGCCTATTTTGGGATTCGAACTCGTGACTTCCCGAGTCCTGCGAGCCCTCCCCGGTCTCCCGGTTCTCCCCGTTCCCCAGCGCTCGGTCGGTCCACCGACGCGAGCGCGCCTTCTGCTTATTCCGGTACGTCACCCGGTCGACAGAAATTCGTCACTCTCCGTCTCTGCCACCGCCTCTGCGACTCCGTGTGGTACCGGTCCGTGGCCCGCCGATACGAAGGAGCCGCGCCCTGTACTCTAGGACGGCCCTCGTACCCTCTCTGTACTGCGTATCCTTAACTCGTCGTTATCGTGCGAGTTTCCCTGACTGCGGTATTCCTGGCTCACGGCTCCCGACATTTGGATGTACTGCAGTTCATAGATATGATGGGAATGTGTGGCTGATTTATACACCTGGATGCTTCGAAGGAATTATGCCCAACAAATAAAACTGGAACAGGGCGAATCCTGCGAGTACAGTACCGACCCTATTAAAGCCACCCCCGATGGCCGTCTCGTTTCGTTTCTCAGTCGGGGAACCGAGTTCTGGTTATGAAGACACCTTATGAAGCGGGCTGCCCACCATTCACTGTAAGAAGATGAAAGCCTTGAAGAATGAATGAAAAGAAACGAATTAATTTTCACTCGTTTCTAAAACCGATATGATTTTTTAGATTGGGAATGGACAATCAGTATTACTTCCATGAAGCGCTCGGGAGCTAGGCTGATCGTCATGAAGCTCTCATGCACAATCATCAAATTCCATATTTTAATCGCTCATTCAAGTGAACAGACCCAACAGATCACAGGCAATGAATTTCGCCCTTTAAAACCATAAAGTGGTGGAATTCTTAGAAAAGTGGTTCATATAAAAAAACATCAACTGTGCATTATTCTCTAGCCTCGACGGCGTTTATAACTGACCGTGCACCACACCTGTCCCTGCCACTGCTTACGCAAACCCTGACCCAGTAGTCCCTTGCAGTCGACCACGACGACGTGGTTGAAAAGTTAACCGTCATCAAAGGTGTAAAACCGAAGCGACACAGTCGACGCCAGACGTAAATCGGACGTGTCATGTACCCAGTACAGCAGATTCAATACAAGCGTGTCCAAACCTCGGCTGTAATCTGCCCTTAAATTGCCACTCACAGTGAAGCTCGATTTGCTCGACAGAACCACCAGCACAGGTTGCACTTGTTCACGAGCAGGCAGCAAGGACCGACAAGATTCGCCAACTTCCGTCGACATTAGATCACAGTAATGGTGGCATTACCTGCTCGGTGTACATACCATCATGCCTACTGTACAGAGTGGGTACCGGGAATTTGAGACCGAGGTACGGTGGAAGAGTTCAGAAGCAAATGCGACGACGACGGGGTCGATTGCTTGGGACGGAGGTCAAATGAACTCGGGTCACGTGAACCCTGGTCTGGAGACACACGTCACCGCAGGGCTCGCGGGTGCCATGTCAGCAGGTCGGAGCCCGTGCCATCAATGCGCATGTGGCTCTAGTTCTCGACAAGAGGGGGCCCTCGGAGGCATGCTCTGCGCACCCTCCCGGTACAAGAACCGGGGGGCACGTTTCTTCGAGAAAAGGAGGGGGGCCGGCATTCGAGATGTCACACAATCCGGGCCCGTGCTCGGACTCGGAGCTTCGCAACGACGAGCTCGAGCGGAGCTGGAGTTGCGGCCCTTGCTGGTCATCCGGCTCCATGTCTCGGACGTAGCAAACAGACCAGGGGTTTGTACTCTTTCTCGAAAAAGGCCTGGGTCCAGATCCGATCAGAGCCTCATGAACAGTTAGTTATTTCCTCGATGTCGCGGGGCGAGGGGATTTCGGTTAATCTTGTGGGGTAGAATCTTTTTGGTTGCGTGTGAAGAGAAAGGATTGCTCGTAATTCTGATTTGTCCGCAACAGCCGAGGCCCTGTTGCAGGGCGTGGTAAAGGGAGTTTCGAAAGCGGAAAAGGTCGCGAGCGGGTCACCGGTGGGTCACACGGAGCCTCCTGGTGGCACTCTTTGTTGCTCGGAATTCATACCTTTGGCCTGTAGCTCGCCTGGAGACGAGATGTCACAGCTGTTCGTTGAGCTGATCGCTTTGTTGCCAGGGGCAAAGCAAGAGACGAAACAGTTATCCGGTGCACTTTACCGGAGCTTCACTTGATGATGGCTTCGGGTTTGACAAGTTGAATTGTCAACTCCTTGACATGTTCAATGTTTCGATTGCGCCTTCCGCCTATAGGAATGTGGCATCTGACGGGAACAGATTTGCGCTAGTTGATAAGTAGGAGCGACTGAAGCTGTCATGCATGAAACCTTGTGCCATCACATATCTTCCAGTTAAGCCCTGCCCATTGGTGCGTTGAACATCTTCATTACCCGAATCGTAATCCACGAAAGTCCAACGAACCGTACAGTTAACATTTCGGTCTATGCGTGCATCAAGGTTCTCGTCCGCCTTCATTCATACTCGATGCCCTTATCATGGGCCCTCCTAAATGGACGTGGGCGTGTAACAACAAATAAATTCTCACCAAATTTTCACACAAGGTTTAACCCTTTGTCGGAAACAGCTGACAATAGTTCCAAGATTTCCTTCTCCACGGGTTTCAAAAAGAGAGGAGGAAAACAAGAGCATCTCAAAGGTTTCCGAAATCCCCCAGCTGTTTCTAGGGGGTTTCTCTCCAACTGATTCTCGATTCGATGGAAGGATTAAACTACAAAATTCATGTTCCAAAGAAGATTATCTATTTCCAAAACATGTAGAATATAAAAGTGAGTCGAAATTGCCTCCAGTGAAGTGGGAGTGCAATTATCGAGAAAAGAATGTTTTTGGAGGAAGGGTGGAGCGAGAGCGGGAGATGGCATACCTTCTGATGAGGTGAAGTGAATGGAAGTCGACAGACAAAAGGCCCCGAAGATGCGTTCTTTCTTATTAGCAAATGGTCAAGACCCCCTCCCTCTCTATGACGGATGAATGATAGTGGAGTTCAAGGCCTTGAGGATTGAATGTTCTTGTAGTGCCGACTTCAGGCAGGACCCTGCGACTTGTAACTGGGTGAGGGGCTTCTCGGATTCCACGCAGCTGGAGAATGAGCTGCGAGGGCATATGATCGGCTGGTTAGTCAAGCAGGAACACGTTTAGCTTAAATGTCAATAATGAAAGCGATGCTTTCAAAAAAGCGCGCTGGATACAAAGCTTCAACTCGGGGACACATGAGATGAGAAGTTATTCTTCCGAGATTCAGCCATGAGCTTTTCTGTGTGCATTTATGGACATCTGTTGTGAAGTTCGAACATTCAACGCAAGGACTGTACTTGTGAACGGATATTTCGACACTGTTAAGTTCCCGGGTCCCGCAGGCGCAGCAACATGGCAGTGTGCATGTCGTCCAATTCCTGCGTCGCAATTCATGAAATGCTGAATATTAAAAAGTGTTCTAGTGCATGGATGTACCTATGATCGAGGTTCCATTAAAAAATTGGCCCTCGGGTCTAGGCTTCTTGCCACACGGAATGACCCCAGCCATGGAACTTTACCAACATGTTATTTCAACAATACGATATCATTCTTAC